TAATTTAGCCACAAAGATAGGCTGCCTACGCTGGCCACTTCTAAAGTTATCTACTCTTTCCGGTGCGTTTGTAATGCAACGTACTTTGGCCGCACTGCGAGGCAACTATCTCAACGGATGAAGGAACACTGAACACGCTGGTTAACACAAGGAGGAATAGAAAGCATAGGAAGCGCCATTCTTGGTCATCTAGTGGATGTAGGCCATCAAGTTGGACCAGAATCCACTTTCAGAGCAATCTATTGTGTGCCCACAACCCCTCTAAAGCAGTTAGCTTACACACACTAGCCACCACTGAGGCGATAGGCATTCACCTCTTCGCACCAGTGCACGAAAGTGACTGTTTCAAGCTTTCCAAATTGATCATCAACATCACCACAAACACTCCAACCACAATGAATCTCATCCGAACACAGACACCTAGGGCTTACTCCAACCCTCCACTCTCCCCATGCCAAATGACCTTTTGAACCAACGTGAAAATGCATCCTCACTAAAAACGAATCCTTATTTAATCTGTACAGGCACAATTATGAATCATTCGAAAACAATTGTTCGCCTTCGGAGCTGTGTTGTGATGTTACAATTGAATTATTCTGGGATTATTTATACAAACTTTTCAGAACCAGTACAGTTATGACTCAATACGATGATTGGATGTTTTGGAGGTGAGTTATATGCTACTAACCTCAATAAACATGACCAAAGCATCTTTACAGAATATTTCACAATATATATACATATATATCCTTACAGACAGCGCCAAATTAAAAATACATTGAAAGAAAAATATAGAAGCAGAACGAAACATAACTCAAAAATAATCGGTTTCGGTTAGAATATTGCAACATTTTTTCTTGCTTACTGTTTGCAATTTCGATCTTTTTCGTCTTTTTACTTTTCAGGTTGCCAACAGGGAAGGTTATATTCACGTCCCCGATGTCCGTTTGATGCCATATCCCACAGCATTTCCAGTCAACGACAATATGAATACTTGGGGCCACAGTCGGGATCTCCGATGGAAGCCGAACACCGTTTCTTCAACTTCCTAAGCAATGTCATAACCTACCCACCTCGTTGTTCCTTCCAGTACGCTCCAATGTTTGCAAGTAGCGTACGATAAAGCAGATGTTGTTCAGGCATTTGTAGCACGGACCCCAGCCACCTCAGACGGCGCAGTAAAATGGTTTTGTTCAGTGTATGCCTACATGATCCCAACAAACATAGTCCGACGGCGTTGGACTCCTGCGATGCTTCCACCATAGGTAACCGACAGTACACAGACAACGGTTGTCGAGGATAGTCGTTGAATATGATCTGCTCGGAGAGACCAAGCTTCGTACAAAACGAATCCAGTAGGCCAGTCACATCCATCGATTTGACTTCACAACTGATCTCTCTAGCGCATTACACTGATCGATAGTTGAGTTCCTCGGGTCACAAATCACAACTCAAGTCTTTTTTGCTTTGTTTTTCCCAATGCAAGTTAATCAATCGGAAGACTTTGGCTTCTATGGTTGAATTTTCCCATGTCTGTTTTGAGCTCAAAGAGCACAGTATGAACCGATAGACGTACACCGATTCCCATTTACTGAAAAACATCTTCCTTTATCCCCACACACCTATACCCGCAATAAAGGTATCTACCAGGATGACTTCTGTCAGGGTTATGTTGACATCACCCGATCGTCGCATGTGAAGGAACCTCGAATTGAACACTAAACAAAATGATCCACGATTCACAGCACAAAATGCAGCTAGAGATCAGTCGCTAAACACTGTATGCTATACTGTCTGCTAGAAGGCAATACACTTATAAATATTTATCTAAATTGCTTTCCTAATGCAGCCTTGACAAATAAAATCAAACTCTTACCAAGCAAGTCGCACAATCGACCAATCAAGCCCCGTGAGACCATTTCCAATCTGGCCGATGTGTCAAAACTCAGATTGAATAGTAGACGCAGGGTAATATTGATCAGTTCCGCTTCTTGCCTCGACAAGAGACGAATCAGTCGTTCAATAGCTCCTGACTTCAGCTGTATCAAGGAAAAGTATTTTTTTGAATAAAAGGATGGTGTTGAGATTATACTAGGTAATGAGTTTGTATACATTTTAAAGTGATCCTTACAGAAATTGTTTTTTTTCCTTTTGCGAAGGATCACAATAAAAAACCTTTGAATACACAATGTTAGAAGCCAAAAAAAATCGGCCGATGGCACGAACTAAACGCACGTTTGGCCGGAGCTATGACGTGCCCTGTGAAGGCTGAACTGAGCTGAACAATTTTCGGGCAAACAAAAGTAGGAACCTTGAGCTTCAATAAAGTTACCAACATAATATTCGGGCTGTACCCCTTAAGCTCATTTCGCGGGAAAATTTTCTTCAGATAAACTTGCTCGGCAGATAAATTTCATTAAGATGGACAAGGAGTTAAGAATAAGGGAAGGCAGTGAGTCTACGAGTTAAATAAAAGGTAGATAAATCTAGAGTTATAACTTGGGCTGAGTGAATTGCACACAAGCTTCCTCGTTCGGGCCCAGAAGATTCACCGTGAGCACTGAACCCGAAAGAGCATAATAACTGCTATTTGGGACGGTTTCTTAAATCGAAAATTCTTTCCGCATTCAGCTTCCCCCTCTTTGATTATCCCAAGACAACCAATCGATATTCTGTTACTCTCAATCAGTTTGACTGTGCCTTCGATGAAAAACTAAACTGTAAAACACCATACAGTTGCTCCAGCTCTGTTCATGTTATCGGAAGTGCGAAACGATCAACGTCGCCAAAGGCCGAACTTAGAACCCCACCCACTGGTAGAAGGCAAGCATGCAATGCAATCAGTTTCAGTTTCAGTTTTACAATCATTAACCATGCACTTTCGTGCGCGGGTTTTGGTTGCTGTTTTTTGGTTGCCCATTTGGATAAAATAGCGAAATGAAAATTGGAATGTCGAAGAAAATTCAAGCGGATGCAATGCAATGAACTACAAATTAGCTGATCGGACTATCCCGTTTTGACTACACCCGTTTTAAGAATCCCTGTTACATACCGTTATCTTCCACTATTATGCCTTCCCAGATTTTTCTATCATGAAGCATTCAGGTACTGCATTTACTTTAGGCATTATTTATCTGCATATCAATGTGATTGTCTTGTTCCAGACTAACTTAAAAAGCGATTGCTGTATCTATGGATACGGAAAGTACGGTTGGCTGCTAGCAAACATGAACTTTTTATAACCAGCAAAAACAGTGGATACTGAATTTCAGTATATGGTCAGCAATGGTAGACAGCTGTAACGATTCTCGTCGTATCACTAGCATCGATCTGTAGAATTTTAAAGTTAAAAATGTAACAAACAACTTTGCTGAACCACTGATCAGACAATAAGGCAGGAATTCCAAACTGATTTCATATGTTGCAAATTTTGATAGTGAATGATGAAAACACATCGCACGATACTGGTTTTCCTTGGTGCAAACAGATAGAAAATGAGTCTGAAAAATATTGTGTGCTCTAATTCGCGACTCCAGTTCATCAAGCCAATCTCAGTTTGCACTTACCATTTCATTTTTGTTCTCTGAGAATATGCTCAGTTTTTTCAAGAACGAAACGATCAGTATTAATAGTTCAAAACTTTCGCGTTCAAGACACCGGCAAAGTAGTAGAACAATGCCTTTGTTATGCATTTTCAATTCCACGTTCAAATCCTCGCTTATATTCAACAGGAGATAGAATGAAACTGTAAACAATGTAAAAAAAAAGGTGATTACGGAGCTTTAGAGAAACAGTATACCCTATTTTAAACACATGATAGTTGGACAAACTCGGAAGTGTAACAGCTGACACCATCTTACCTGAGTCACACTATTATGCCCAAAGGTGAGCTGCGTTCAATGTACACCGAGCGTATTTCTAAATCTCACTTTTTTGGGCTCCTCGCAACTTATCCATAGGGTTAAATTCTCAAGCGCTCTTAATGAAAACGAGGCCTTCGATTTTGTAAATCACGTTGTTCTTCCCCCACACAAACTATACGAAACGATCCATGCATCTAATATATCGGTCGTACGACAGAAGATTAAGATAGACAAGATAGGACTTAAAACAAATGCTCTGACTATTTCCGAAGACACCGTAATGGGTTGTTTTCAATGTTTTTATAGTTGGTGAGTTCAAACAGCGAGTTGTCCCCACGCCTTGGATACAGATAAATACAAAAAGGCTCCCGTAACTGCATTACATTCACTCCACTCAACCTCATTGTTACTTTGTAGTGCTACTTGACGTCCCATACTCGGGGTCCTTCTGGTTGGAAAATTTACAACGTATATTTGCTGAACGTTGCTCCACGAATTCAGAATTACTCCATTCTTACCATCTGCTTCTGATCTGTGTTAGATGATCAAACACTTTTTATTCAGGCCAACAATACGCGTCGACGCTTACACGGTCAGTGCGTCAAACGCAATTAGGTTGTTTTCAGCGAGTGCCTATAGTACTCGTAGATTACCGACTTCTCGTTATCTGGAATCGGACTTGGGGTTCGTATCTACGAGTCACTCAACCACTGGATGACAATCCGGTACATTGCCATATCTGACAATACCGACTGGCGCAAGTTAAATAGTTTGGGTCATCTATACATTGACTTCGAGGTATTGTGTTCAATTCTGGTCGCCGTACGCTCATCTCCCTTATTTGTGTCCACAGGCAGCCTTGATCGGCCGCAACCTCGTTTGTGAAAGCGCGTTTTTGGGATAAATAAAAAGAACGTTAGTATATAATTAGTATTTATATCAAGAACGAAAGAAGACACATGTCGTGAGATGTTAACATTTCATGCCTATACATTACGTAACCGTGATAAAAAACTGTTGGCAATTGGCGAGGCGTTATTAATCAGATTACATCACCCCATTTTGTGCATCCAAAAGTTGTTGATACAATCAATTCACT